GTGCTGTCCCTTGGATTTTGTGCTCAAGACTACTGTTCTACCACTTGAGCCATAGCTCAACTCTGATTTTTTTTTTTTTTTTGTAGTTAATTGGAGGTAAGAGTCTCATTGACTTTCCTACCTGGGCTGGCTGTAAACCAGGATTCTCAAATCTCAGCCTCCTGAGTAGCTAGGAATCCAGGTGTGAGCCACTGTTGCCCAGTGGTGTTATCAATTTTTAACAAATGTGAGCATAATAAAAAATAAAAGACTAAAGTTAGGTGTGGTTGCATATGCCTGTTACTCCAGCCACACGGCAGGAATAGGTAGGAGGACCACAGGCCTGGAAGACACACAAGACCTCCATCTGAGAAATAACTAAAGTAAAAAGGACTTGGGCAATGGCTCAAATGGCAGAATGCTTATCTAGCAAATGCAAGGCCTTGAGTTTAAACTCCAGTCCTGCCATTAAAAAAAAGACTACATTGAGTCCAACATGATATAGATTCTTCTGTTACGTGCTATTCTCACACTTTGCACCCATTGGGCCCATTTCATAAATGGGCAGACCAAGGCACAGAAAGATTAAACAATTTACCTAAGTTAACATAGCTAGTGGATTTTGGCAGCTTGACATTAGTCTCTGTGTGCCTATCATTACACTGGGCTAGAAAGTTAGAAGACTGGACAGATTTGGACCCATTCTTTTTATATCTCCCAAAAGTTGTCTCACCAGTGGCTCAAACCTCGCTAATCCTAGCTATGCAGGAGCCTGAGATTTGAGGATTGTGCTTCAAAGCCAGTCCAGGAAGGAAAGTTCAGGAGACTCTTATCTTTAGTTAACTTTTTTGCCAGTCCTGGAGCTTGAACTCAGGGCCTGGCACTGTCCCTGAGCTTCTTTTGCTCAAGGCTAGTACTCTACCACTTGAGCCACAGAGCCACTTTTGGCCTTTTCTGTGTATGTGGTACTGAGGAATTGAACCCAGGGCTTCATGCATGCTAGGCAGGCACTTTACCACTAAGCCACATTTCCAGCCCCTTATCTTTATTTTAAAATAATTACTCATCAAAATGCCAGAAGTGAAGATGTAGCTCAAGTGGTAGAATGCCTTTAAGGGACAGCACTCAAGTGGAGTCTAATCCCCATTAATGGCACTAAATAAAATAGTTAAGTTTTGTCCTACCTCTCTGTCTCAGACAGGGAAGGTGGAAAAACAGCATCACAACTTGGATTACATGAGAATTTTGGTTCCTTAGGTCTCACATAATTGAGTTTTCTAGTTACTGGAAATCACTTTCAAAAGCATCAGGTATAGATCAAATCAGAAAATAGAGCGCATAATTCAGATGAAAATCTGTGCGAGCCAATTCTGCTCAGAGGTTTTGCTTGAGGTTCCCACTGCCCCTCTCCCCTGCATTCTTTTATTGCTGGCTATGACTGAGTTAATCATTATTACTACTGGACCCAAAGTGATCCCTATAATGGGCTATGATTCTGGGGGATCCTTCTTTGCGAAGGGCCAAACTCCAAGCCACATGGAATGAGGCCCTTTGTGGCTTCTTCCTGGCTCTGGCTGGCCACTTCTCTATTTTAAAAAGCAGAGAGGGATCACGAGATTCAGGAGGTAGGTGAGGGTTGGAGAATTGTACCCAAAGTGATAGGGGCTATAAATTAAGGCCAGGATGAGAGTGGCGCCCTCTACAGGTTATAAGCTCTTGGAGAATAGAGTCCAAGTGCACAGAACTTCAGTGCACCAGTGTGGACCAGTAAGGAGACTTTGAAGAGAAAGGAGGTGAAAGAACAAGGCAAGGCAAAGCAAATAGCAGCGTGGCCTTTCCAGAAGGTCAAAAGTCCCAGTGTTTCAGATTCCAGTGCAGTTTTCCTCTGGAACAAACTCTCTTCTTTCTGCTCACAGCCTGTATCTGCCCCTTGGAGTTGTGGAAAACCAGTGTCTGCCTCTTGGAGTTGGGGAACTTCATGGTGACTGCTTGTTGAAGAGACCCTGGCCCCAGTGCCTCACTGCTCTCCCCCCCCACCCCTGCATCTGTCCTCTGGTTAGGGTTGTGTGAAGCGGAAGACAATTTGGGGCTTATTAGTGTCCTAGGGAGACCTGTAACTTGGGTTTCTGGGACCCAAACAACCAGAGTCTTAGCAGCAAGCTCCAGCTGAGAAAAGACTGAGGAATTGTCTCACCTAATTACAGGGAACGGCCCTCTTTGTGTTTGTGATTCGGTACGGTTGTCCGATCGCTTTTGATCGCTTTTCTCCATTTGCTGGCTCAGGCCGTGCTGGAATTGTGCTAATTAGGAGAGAAATGGACAGAGTGATCCTGTCAGCCCTGGTTACTGGTAGAGACAAAGCGGAATATTATTCTGAGGCAATGTTTTGTGAGGCCCTTCTCCAGCTCTCATTAGGAACAAGGGGCCCCAAGGAGGGGAGAGTTCCGAATGCCTGGCCTGGCTAATGGAGCATCAGGGTGTTCCTGTGCTAATTAACAGGCTCTGCCATGCCAACCAGTGGTCTCACAGTTGCATGTAGTGCCACCTCAAATCCCCAAATATCCTCTTGTCTAGAAGACAATGCCAAAGAGTAGGAAGAGTGGTAGACTCCTCCTCTTCCTCTTCCTTCTCTTCTTCTCCCTCCTCTTCTCCTTTCTCCTTCCTTCTCCTCCTTTCCCTCCTCCTCCTTCACTTTGTGCTGGTTCTGGGGCTTGTTGAACTCAGGCCCTGAGCTGTCCCTGAGCTTTTTTGCTCAAGGCTAGCACTCTACCATTTGAGCCACAGCTCCATATCCAGCTTTATTAGAGATAAGAGTTTATTAGAGATAAGATTTATTAGAGATAAGAGTTCAGATTTCGGGCTGGGAAGGTGGCTCAGTGGTAGAGCGCTTGCCTTGCATGCTCGAGGCCCTGGGTTCGATTCCTCAGCAACACATAAGCAAAAAGAAAAAAGCCGGAAGTGGCGCTGTGGCTCAAGTGGTAGAGCGCTAGCCTTGAGCTGAGGGACAAAGCCCAGGCCCAGAGTTCAGGCCCCACGACCGGACCCAAAAAAAAAAAAAAGAGTTCAGACTTTCATGTCCTGGGCTGGCTTTGAACCATGATCTTCAGATCTAGCCACCTGAAGAGCTAGCCACTAGTGCCTGGCATAGCTGGTGACCTCTTCAGTAATATGTCTAAGGACATATTACTAAAGGGCCCAAAAAGTCTAAATTACCCAGTTATAGGTTGGTCAGAATTTACAAACTAAACTTGGAAGACCACTGCATGCAGCCTTCCTGGTAAGATTCACTGGTGAAATGAAGCCCAAGTGGAGATCTGGGAATCTTGGCAATCACAAAGAAAAACAGAAAATGGAGAATAGAACCAAATGCTTGAAAATGGAATAAGGCAAAGTTGAGAGCTGCGAAGAAATTACATTAATTTGGACCGTCTACCCTGGCCTGTCTTCCTATTTTATGTCCTGCTCCATTCATTTTTCTGTGACGCCCTAGTCCCAAAGGAAATCTTTTTTTTTTTTTTTTTTTTTTTGGCCTTTATTACAAAGCTCTTACAGAAGTCCAAACACACTTCTGAAGTCGCAAGGACAACAAAATCAATTTACCAGTTGCATTTTCACTGCTGATTCGGATGATTCTAGATCTGCAATAAATAAGAAGCTTGAGAAATACCAAGAAGCCGTCAGCAAGTGTCCTTTAAATTTAAAATGTTAAAAATTATGACATAGCTGTGTGTTGGTGGCTCTTGCCTATAGTGCTAGCTACTCAGGAGGCTGAGATCTGAGGATTGAGGTTCTAAGCCAGCCTGGGCAGGAAAGTCTGTGAGACTCTTATCTCCAATTAACTACCAGAAGAAGCTAGACATGGAACTGTGGTTCAAGTGGTTAGAGTGCTAGCCTTGAGCAAAAAAAGCTCAGGGACAGTGCCCAAGCCCTGAGTTCAAGTTCCAGGACTGGCACATAAACACACAAAATATGAAAAAAGTTATAAAAAAATCTTTTAGGGTAAGAAAGAAAAAGTGGTGTTTTAATATACTTTTGTATCTTATAAACTTTTTGTGAGCTAACTAGACACTTGTTTTCCTTATAATGGAACATTTTTCTCTAGAAGGCCATGCTCTGGCTAGAGCATGGTCAAGCATCAGTGGGTGGTGGCAGGGGCACTAATGAGTGTTTCCTCTTCTCTATGTCTGGCACAGAGATGAAAAGGAACTCACATCAAGGATTTAGTACGTGGTAGTTTTTAATCCATCATGTTTAATTGAAGTTTGCAAACAGATAGAAGGCACCAAAGAACTAGATGCATGAGAGAGAGCGGTAACTTAGAGACACTTGTGACTATGTGATACAATAAGCTCTGGACCCAGATCAAACTTATGTCTGAGGTAAGGTGTGGCGAATCATAGGGATGGTACACCTATATGCTGTAGGCACGTGGGAGAAGAGTCATTTCTAGCTGTGTCATTAGGAATTTATCAGAAGAACAGGCGTGATAGGTACAAAAGGGAATATGGCTTTCTGGGAATTCAATAGTTCAGGCAAAGGTACTCAGGTAAGGAACTGCGAATTGTTCAGAGTAACTGGAACAGAGACTTCTTATACAGGAGAGGAAGGAAACTAACTGGAAGTCAGTTAGGAGTTACATGAATAGACTTAAAATGCCAGAGAAGATCTGGGGGTTATCAATAGATCCAGGGAGTATCCAAGGTCTCTAAAAGCCCCTATCAAGACTTGGGGTAATAAGCAGTAATGAGCAATATGGCTGGTAGGATAGACTGCAGGCTAGAAGACTAAGTAAGAGACTTTAAGCCTCAAACCATCTACCTGGATATTAAGGGGGAAGATAGTAGGTAACTTGTCACTATAGTTGTACTTTTTGATGAGATCTATGGTTTTATTTATTTATCTTGAACTCAGGGCCTGAGTGCTGTCCATCAGCTCTTTTGCTCAAGGTTAGTGCTCTACACTTTGAGACACAGTACCACTTCCAGTTTTCTGGTGGTTAATTGGGCAGAAGAGTCTCACAAGTGCTCACTTTGGCAGCACATATACTAAAATCAGAATGATTCAGAGAAGATTAGCCTGGCCCCTGTGGAAGAATGACATGCAAATTTGTGATGTATTCCACATTAAAAAAAAAAAAAAAGAATCTCATGGAATTTGCTGCCTGGGCTGGCTTTGAACCATGGTCCTCAGATCTCAGCCTCCTAAGTAATTAAGATTATAGGAATGAGCCACCAACACCTGGCAGGATCCATCTTTTAAATATACAACTTCACCCTTTAAAGAAAAACTCATTTTCCTGTACAAGATACAGGTTTATTATGAAGACACAGAAAACACCACATACAAAATACAATCTTCTAACATCCCAAAATACATACATACATATACACTGTACATAAATTTATATTATCAATATAAAAATACATCATTAACATTTCTAAGGACAAATACAAGCCCAATAAATATCACAATCCTAAAATATCTACCTACATTAAGTGCTGGTGGATCAGATGACAGTAAAAGGAGCCAAAGCACATCTGGCTTCTGGTTGTTGACTTAAACTGGTTTGGGGGCAGTGACCAAGTATTCTTTGCTTACTTCTCCATTTCCCCAAATAATTTAAAGGTACCTGATGTCATCAACTCTTGAAAACAGGGCAAAGAAATAATCTGACATTATGACACTATTCTCTGGCCACATGCACACACATACTTCAATTGCATTTAGTCAAGAAATGGTGATCACATGTTTAACTTAAGCAGTGCCTCTACAACTTACCCCTCTGGGGTACACCCCAGCTGCATCTTCCTTCCTTTCTCATACTCATCTTGTGTGTCATGTGCTTAACTGATTTTCCTTTCAAAAAATAAGATTGTGTTTATAGTCAAGGAACACAATTGAGGAGAAAGCCCAACATGAAGTCAACTATGAGAAACGGGCACAGATGTACATGAGAGAGTACTATGCTCTAGCCCAGACTCAGAGCACAAACTTGACTGTAACTTCCTGTGTCCCACTGGACTACTGTCACAGGGATTCTTTCCATAAAGTTTATGAAAATCTATGTACTTCTCAAAACATGAGAAAACAGGTGTAATTAATTTTACCTATGGAAGCTATATTTAGGTCAGGAAATTCTATTTCTCTTTTGTGTGTGTGTGTGTGTGTGTGTGTGTGAAGGGGGGGGGAGGGGAGGGATATCAGATACATGTTGTGAGGAGAAAAGGTGAAACAAAACCTTGCCACCATCCCATAGCACATGCTTGGTCAAATTTTCAACCAACTGAGCTATGCCCTTCTCTCTAGCAGGCCACAATGACTCTTTTGCTTCAATCCCTAACAAATTAACTAGAACTAAAAGTCCTTTTTGTTACCTTCCTATTGGTCTTGAGTTCTAGAACCCAATGTGACCTAGCCTGGGCCTGTGCCTTGATAAGCAAACTCCAGAAGGGACTCAACTCCTCAGGGGTCCCTTGCCTGGAGTTAGATCAGAAGGTGGGACTGGGAGGTGGGAATTGATGAGGGTGGGAGTGGCGAGAGGTGCAGAATATAAAAAGCATCAGACATTTCGAGAAGAGTCTGTTTTCTCCAGCTGTAGAGTCGTGGAACCTTTTACATACTAGAAAGCTCAAGGTCAGGACATAGTCTCTTCACATCATAAACACTTCCTAAGAAGCCAAATACAACTCAAAAGAACCCATCCAATCAGCATGTCACCATGGATTCTGCCACTGTGGAATCAAATTGACTGGAAGATCCTGAATCACTTCCAGACACAGGGGTACGATGTTGGCCGTAAGAGTGCTGAAACCTCCAGCATTACCAATACCTCAGGCTACACAGCTAACTGAGTAATGGTAACGATCCTTGGGTAGAGCAGATTCTTCTCTTGCCACTGACTGTCCTCAGAGGCACAAGAATGCCAGGAGCAGGGGAGCAGGCGGTCCTGAGGGTCAGTCTCTGGCCCCTCCTGAGGAAGCGTGAAGTGTGCAGAGCTGCACTGGGAAAGGAGCTTGTTTCCGTTTCCAGGATACTTGTCCACAAGCAGCTGCTACTTCTTGGGCTTCTCTAGAATGTTGAGAAATTTCCCCCGTGTCATCTCTCTGGCTGGAATGACAAAGCAAACAAAAGATCAATGAGAACCTGAAATGGGGGAGGGGGGGGGGAGGGAAGATCACAGGAAGGTTCAACTTAAAGAAAAATGCAGATTGATTAAATTGCTTCACAACAGATTCAGCCATCACTAACTGAAAAGGGACAAATGATTATTGACAGCTAAAACTGCACAAAGATTCTAAAGTTGGCTACTGCTATGAAGTACAGGCAACGGGAAAGAGTTCATCATCTATCCTCACAAAAATCATCAGGGAATTCCTTTCAGACATCTTTTTCTGAACCTAATACCCATGTTCACTATCTCACAAAGTTTACTCTTAGAGGCTAAAAACCAACCAAGATTAGTGTTCTCTTGGTTGTTGGTCTCTGTACATTTATGATCCCCAATCAAAATCAGGGATCATGTACCCCATCTCTTAGTGGTAGTAGCCCCGGCATGCTGTAATATAACAGGGTTTATATTCCCTCAGTGCAGTTGATCTGTGGATGGGGTAATAAAGTAGAGTTTATAGAGCTTTGGTCTTCTCTCTCTTAGCATTGTCAGTCCTTAGGTATTTAATATATCCAGGTAAGGTTTATGTGTCTTTTTCTGACTTTCAGAACCATCAATCTTTGAATGTTGTAGTTACCGGGGAGTTTATACAGCTACTTTATATATACGTATATATATATATATATATATATATACACACACACACACACATATATATATGGCTCCAACGTAAAAGTAAAACATTCTCAATTATAAGAGCCTCCCCCCAACCCATTTTTAGCTTTATCAAGCAAATTCTAGGCACGTTTTCTAAGCATAACCCCTCCATACTTATCTCACAAGGTAATTTTTTTTTTTAACAGATTGAACTGTGTTAGAAGGTGTTAGAAGGTCAGATTTTTTCTGGTACCATGCAGTGGGCACAGGGTAGGTTGTGTCCTATGGTTTTCCAAGAATATGTCATGATACTTGCTAAAAAAGGGAGGTGGCCTAGGAGTTATTGGCAGGAGTAAGAAGGGCCTTTGCCTTGTGGTTGTCTTTTCCCAAGCAAATGATGCTACAGGAATAGCCACTCCACCCCTTTTCCCTAGCTTACCAGTTCTTTGCTTATCAGTACAATAATGAAGACTGTACAAACTATCATCACAGGAAGGCTTTTGGTAATTTTCGTCCATACATTTCCCAGTTCTCTCTCACTTCTGAGTTCCAACAAGGGAAAGGAAATTCCATTCGCTAGGAATAGAAGCCCCAGGCCTGGGTCTTGTCTCAATACTCATAATTTTTCCCCATCCTAAATCCAACTGACTATTCCTTTCTTGGTGGATATATATCAAACTTGGTATATTCAAGGTTACTGTAAGACTTGCATGCAATTATTTGTTTACATACTTGGCTTTCTTCCTTCACTAAAATGTTAAGAAACAAAAGAACTAGAACTAAGTGGAAATACACATATGTTAGCTTCCTTTTTTAAAAAAAAATACAAGACTAGTTAGTGGCGCTTGGTGCTCTATTGTCTACATTGTAGGAGTCTTTTTAATGTAACTTATTTAGCAAGAAAAGTCATTTCTCTTGATGGAAGTAATTCCAAATTAATGGGGAGATTAGGGGTCAAGGGCTAACCACTCTAGAGGAAATCCAATCAAGTACTTTCTTGCCCATGAAGAGGCAGCAAGGACTTCTTTCAGAGAATACAGGATTTAAATTCAGTTTTTAGTTCCAGCTATAGCAATTTGTAGCTGGACAATACCTCTGAACCTCACCTTCTTCATCTGCAAAATAACATGTTAATGTTTTCTGTCCTGCTTTTCACTTGGATATTGGCAATCACTATTCTTGGCAACAGTGGCCCTCATTAACATAACCCTTTACAGAGTAGGTAAGCAGTTCTCTTATTCTCAGTATCAGTCTGATCCTATAGGAATTTATACTTTTGTTTATCTATTTAGCTTTGCAGTTCTGAGACAAGGTCATACTGTATAGTCCAGGCTGCCCTTGATTTCCAGATTTTCCTGCCTCCAACTCCTGAGAGTTAGCCGATTGGTTTACTCATACTTTTTGTACAGTGAGTGGGTTTCATCAGTTATTTCTGCTGAGTGGATTACCTACCTATTTCTCAAGTACTTATAACATATAGATTATCAAGTGATCCTACTACACGGTTATCTAGAAAGCAGACATGTTGACACAGAACTCTGCAGGAGAGAAGAGAGCCTTGTTCCTAAACTCTGGGCTTAAGAGGAAGGCACAGATCTCACTGGTGATTTCTGCCCGCTGCCCTTCATACCTCCCAATACTGTTTGCTCCAAAATAGGAGAGAAACTTAGAATATTTAAGGAGTTCTAATTTTAAGACTCAGCTATTTGAAACTCAAAGGCTGAAAAGGAAAAATAAAAAGTGGTAAGTAAGCTCTTCTTGCATTTAACCAATCCCTTTTAACAACCTCCTTTCCACTCAATCATTCCTCCCCCTTCAACCTAATCCAAATACACAGAGCTGTAGGAAACCACTGTAAAAGTAGAAGTAATTCAAAAGACATCATCTCCTGAATGGGAGGGGAGAAAGTTTCCCTTCTTGCCAGTCCCATATAGGAGATATACGAATGTGTGACACAGCCGCTCCCTAAAAGAGGGCTGTGCCTTATAAATCAGATCATAAGCACCAACCCCTTTTTTGTGCACAGAGAAATTGCTGCAGGCCAGGGGCTGCTCAAGAGCACGTGCCCTCCTGTTCACTTGTCATCAGGGATGTTAACATTTCTGATTAATTCGTATAGCCCTTATTTTATTCTTGATTTCTCTATCCTTGCTCTCTTGCTCTGCTGCAGTGTGATGATCCTTCCCGACCTGGTATAGTAATCATTGCCTGCTAGACACCCCCCACCCCCAAACCTAGTGAAATTGTTTAGCGATGCCAACCGCGCTTTTAATTTGCAAGACATCAGACACAGAGGTAATTTAATACCAACATCTGTTCATTTTTGACTTCTAAAACAAACTCGCAAATGCTGCTACAAAATC